TATATATATATATTTGTATGTGTGCGTATGTGTCGCGTTCTCAGATTAGTTGGTCGGTCATCTGTTTGTCAGTTGTAAGTTAAATCTGATCTGGGGTTCGATTTTCCCAGAATATAGGGTGTGCTACTCGAATTATTAGGCGCATGAGGAGTGCTCGGAGCTTATATCATGCCTCCGACCATTCCTTATATATATATCTCATTATATAATTATATATAGTAAAGTGAAATAATAGATTCTATTTATATATGATTGTTTTAATCTTAAAATTTATAAAAAGTGTGAAAATAATGTTCGAACTCTTTAAATTGTGTCTAAAGTAATTCTAAGAAATTTTCTATTTTGATAATACTAAAAACCCTAGGGTTAAAATAGCCCCACCAGCACCAAAATTAAGGACGGATTATTTTGGGACTTTACCTTCTCCCACTCTTCTATATATATATATGACACTTTATAGACGCAAGGACCCCGCCTTGCCTTTATTATCCCCTATCCGCTCTCCTCCATTTGAGTAGCTTCTCTTCACCTCCTCCTCTAACTCCTTCCTCATGCCATCGGATCAATGCTCCGAACCAGATTCTCTCTTCCATCAACATAGCGAACAACTCAACTCCAATTTATCCCAAATCAACCTTCAACAATTCCAAACCCTAATTCTCTCCGCCGAATCCCTTCTCCGCCAAAAAGACGCCCAATCAAACCACCTCCGGCTTCAAAACCTCGCGTTACAACACAAGCTCTGCTCTCTTACACTCCAAAACCAACATCTATTCTCCATCGCTCGCCGGAGCGAAGCCATGGCTTCCGCTCTCAGAGTTAATCTCCAGACCGTTATAACGCAGAGCGAGATGGCGGCGAGGGAGAGAGAAGGGTTTGGAGATAGCGCGGAGATCATCGGAGAAGAAGAATACTCTTGTTGCGGAGGAGGTGGGGGAATGGAAAAGGAAGCTTCTAGATTCAAGTGTAGGGTTTGTGGAGAAAGAGAAGTTTCGGTTATGTTGATTCCCTGCAACCATCTCTGCCTCTGTGGAGAGTGTGAGGGGATTGTGGGAGAATGCCCCTGTTGCCGGCGAGCTAAGAGGGGTGGGCTGAGGGTTTTAATGTAAATATATATATATATATATATATATATTTCTGTTTTTATGTTTGTTGTGAGTAATGCTTTGGGAGGGTAAGAAACTAAAAATGGTGTGAATTAAGTTTAGGGAAATTGGGTTACGATAGTTTGGTTTTGTAATTATTATATTTGTTTTGGGATGCGTGTGATAAATTTTGATTGATTGTATCATTGGACGTGTATTGATATCTTGGGTAAATATGATGGCAGGTTTTGATTATAATTAATTTGAATATATTCAGTTTTTTTTTTTTTTTCTCTTCGTATTTTTTTGGTTGGTTTTTATGAAATCGTGGAATTAAAACTATAGCGATACGAGATCAACAAATTACCATCATCCTGCACTCACGAATCTGGAGATGCTGCGTATCTGGATGCATATTTTTGAATAAGAAATGTTCAAAAATATCAGCTCTGCGATGCAGAGTTAATGGTACCAAAATTTGTGAAATGCAAGTCAAATCAAGTTCAGATCAAGCTATTAAATTACTTTTGGAAGCTTTTTGAATATATTTGAAAGATCAAATGGATATCGAATCTAGTGAGTTTATAGTCAAATCGAATGTCTCGACAAAAAAATCTAACAAGCTCAATTTTGACATCGTTAAGGCACTCAAATGTCCATCAAAAGCCGTTTAATCAAGGAAAGCTCTCTGAACCGTCTGATTAAAATTGTTCAAATTCTTGTATTAATTGCGCCCCAGACTCTATAAATAAAGTCACAACCCTCTCATGGGGAAAGAGAGTTTGAGGCAAAGGAAGATTCTGAATCTTTAAGAAGAAGCTGAAATCCAGCATCACTTCTTCTACCGTCGACCACCACCAATCATCGTCGACTATTACTCGCCGGTCGTCGTCAATCACTATTGTCTGCCACTCCTTACAACAAGTACATTCTCATATCAACTTCGTAACTTAGAAGATTGTGCAATATTTTCCCATTTATGGGACAAAGAAACTGTACTTATAATCTCTGATTTATAATGAATATCTTCAATTGGGTCAGACCCCTTAATTTTCTCCATTTACATGTTTTTGATGTAAGAACTTTTGATATCTCTATTTTTTATTTTTCTTTCATCTAAATGTGTGTTGCATCTTCGTACAACTCTAAGATGATAATGTATTACTCTAAAATCTTAAATTTTCTAGCATGCAACATGTAGTATATTAAAATTTTATTTTGGCACCCAGTTTAAAAATAATTAGTATTCCGACGAAAGAATGCAGCTGTATTATATAATGAAATTGATTTATGGTATATATAT